GAAGTCTCCTATTATTCTCTCCGTGTTGGTTGATACAGGTTCGAGTTTATCTTCTATTGCTCGACCTGTTGCCACACGTTGTCGTCTACACTTGCGTCGTGCGGCAGAACCAGTTTTCATTCTTTATGGCAATGGCCGTACACATGCATGTGCACGGGATGAGGTGGACCTGGTTGTGCGTGTGGGCGATCTCGAGCTTGAGTTGCAATCGTTGCGGGTGGTGCCGAGTCAAGCTTTTGACCTCATTCTTGGTATGGATTGGTTGCAGCGCAATCATGCCAAGTGTGACTTTGAGGCTTCTCCCCCTTGTCTCATACTTCCTTATGTTTCATCCATTCCTCTCACTTCCATACCTCTTCGTCCCTCTACTTTTACCTTTGCTTCCATTACTTTTGTTTCCCCACTCTTTCCTTCTGTGTTTCCATCTTGTTCTGCTTTTCCCTTTTCCGATCCCTCCGACGATCTTTCTGTTATAGCAGTTGACCGGCTCATGAAGGAGTATTCTGATCTCTTTGAATTTGACCTATCATCTGGGGCCAAGATTGCCACACGTCATCCAATTCCAACCGGGGATGCTCGTCCAATCAAGGTTCCTGTTCGTCGTTGGTCACCTAAGGAGATCAAAATTTTACGAGCAAACGTCAAGGACATGCTGGAAAAGGGTGTTATTCGGAAGTCACGGAGTCCTTGGGCATGTGAACCTCATCTTGTGACGAAGCCTGATGGGAGTATTCGTTTCTGCATCGACTATCATCCGTTAAACGAAGTGACGATCCCAGATGTGTATTCTCTTCCTCACACTGCTGATCTCTTGGATCGTCTGGGGCGGAGTCGTTGGTTCACCAAGCTAGATCTTGCTTCTGGGTATTGGCAAGTACCGATGGCCGAAGAAGATATTCCTAAGACTGCTTTTCGTACACCATTTGGTTTGTACGAGTTCTTGGTGATGCCGTTTGGTTTGAACAATGCTCTAGCAACTTTCCAACGGATGATGGACGAGGTTCTTTGCGATATGCCGGAGGTGACTGCTGACTTCATTGATGATGTCTTGATCCACTCGGAGGGGACGTGGGAGGAGCACGTTCGTGATATTTGTAAAGTGTTGGATTGGCTACGCGACGTTGGTTTAAAGCTGAAGCGGTCGAAGTGCATGTTTGGGTCCAAGGACACAACTTATCTTGGGTACCGTATTTCTCGTGAGGGTTTGCAAGTTGATCCTGACAAACTTGTGGCTGTTCTAAAGTTCCCTACTCCGAAGTGTGTGAATGATGTCTAGCGCTTTTTGGGTAAGGTGTAGTATCTTGGTCGTTTTGTGGATCATCTTTCCGATCGCACTACACCATTGCGAGCGTTGCTGAAGTCATCAACGTCATCTTTCATCTGGTCTCCGGATTATGAGTGGGCGTTCGTGGATCTCAAGGAGCTATTGACGACTCCTCCGGTTTTGGCATATCCTGACTACACTCGACCTTTTATTTTGCGCGTGGATGCTTCTGACATTGGTCTTTGTTGATGCAAGAGAGCTCGAGTGTGCCTAGTCAGCGCCATCCCATTGCATACATAAGCCGTACATTACAACCAGCGGAGATGAACTACTCCACGACGGAGAAGGAGTGTTTAGCAGTAGTCTGGGGTTTCGAGAAACTTCATGCATATCTACATGGTTCTCGAACGTTACTTGAAGGTGACCATGCTGCTGTTACTTCATTATTGAAGCGGAAGAACCTGGTTGGTCGTACGGCTCGATGGGCTTTGAAGCTTCAGATATATGATTTTGATGTTGTTCATCGCCCAGGGAGTTCTATGGCTGATACTGATGCCCTTTCTCGAGCTCCTCTTCCTTCTCCACTCACTTCTCATCATTCTGACGAACCTGTTGTTCCAGCATCTGTGGATTTTCTAGATGAGGATTCTGTGCCGTCGGCGGTTGCTGTCCTTGACGTTCAGTGTCCACAGGGTGCAGAGCAAGATCTGCCTTCTCTTGAGGAGGTTCGCGAGGCTCAAAGGATTGAGCCGTGGATTCGAAGGCTTCGAGATGGGTTTGAGAATCCTGCATCACTTGCTGATGACTTGCCTTTCCGGCATTTACATTCTCAATATCGCCTTGAAGATGGCCTTCTTTATTTTGTGGGGACGGATCCTGATGATCATTTACGACTGGTGGTACCTTCGGTGTTTATTCCGCGGTTTCTCCATGCCTACCATGATTCTCCTGTTCTAGGTGGGCATATGGGACACCGTCGTGTCACCGAGAAGCTGCGTAGGTCTTTCTATTGGCCGGAGATGCGACGTGATATTATTCGGTATGTGCGTAGTTGCGTTTGGTGCCAAGCTCGTAATACTCCCCCTTGTGCTGCGGAAGGACGGTTGGAGTCAATTGCAATTTCCCGTCCGTTTGAGTTGGTGGCGTTTGATCTTATAGGACCTTTTCCACGATCGACTGCTGGCAATGAGTATGTTATTATTGCTTATGACTACTTGACTCGTTGGGTGGAAGTTGGTGCTCTTGCTAGCGCCTCTGCAACTGCTGTTGGATACTTCCTCCTCAATCGAGTGGTGTTCCAGCATTCTTGTCCAGAGCGGATTCTTTCGGATAATGGTCCTACATTTATGGCTGAGGTATTTCATGTTTTGACATCTCGGTTGGGGATACGCCACACTTTTACGAGTGCTTATCATCCACAATCAGACGGTCTGGTGGAACGGCTCGTTCGGACATTCAAAGGGATGATTTCGAAGTATGTGAACTTCCAGCATTCGGATTGGGATGGTTATTTGCCGTCTCTTCGATATGCCTATGTCACAGGGGTGCAAAGTTCTATTGGTGCTTCACCATATAAACTTCTATATGGTCATGATCCAATATTACCAACAGAGTTGGGTTTACCTTCGCGATTGCCACGAGCTCCTGATGCTAGGTCATGGGATCAGTATTTGACAAGCATTCTTCCACTTGTCCGAGCAGAGTCTGCCGAACACTTAGGCCGCGTACAAGTGGGACAACAACGGCGCTACAACTCCCATCATCATCCACCTGCGGAGTACAAAGTGAATGATTTGGTGTTAGTTCGTTTTCCCCATCTTACGGTACGTGGTTTATCTAAGGGGCTCCTTGCGCAGTGGAAAGGACCGTATCGGGTGTTGCGGCAAGTTGGACCGCAAGTTTATGAGGTTCGGCATGACGTTCAGCAAACCGATCCTCCGGAGATTATGCATGTGCAGCGGTTAAAACGCTTCATACAAAGGGATCAGGAGCAGTTAATACCGTCTACAGATCCGCCGATGCCTCCTCCTGACGTTCCTCCAGATCCCAGGCCATCTACAAGAGAACCCTGACGGCCTTCCATTATTTCGAGAGGAGGGGATGATATGAGGGCCAAGTGTACGGCTACGATGTCGTATACTAATATTAGCGTAGTGGATTTTGGTAGCGGTCGGATTGGTTTCAATCCGGACCACTCGCTCCTGTATATAAGCTAGGGTTTTTGGGCTAATTGATATGCACATTTCTGTATTCCCTTTCCATATTCCATGCACTCACAACAAGTATTAAAATAATAGAAATCTAGGTAAATGCTTTATTTCGTTAAAGTAGGACTTTTCATTATCCCACTTATGGTGTGTGGCCACATGCCATTTTTATAACAACAATAAAAAATTGAAGTTTTAACTTTATAATTTATAAATTAAAAACTTTTCATATGATTTTGTGTTATAATATTGTGAAATATAAAAAAATAAATTAAAAAACTGATAGAAATATTAATAAATATTAATTAAGTACTAAGAAATGGCATGTGGACACATGCTAATTAATGTCCCACTTTACTGAATAAGTCCCACTTTAACGAAATAAAGCATGTAAAGCAAAAGGGAAAAAAGTTAGATTGAAGAAAACAAGAAAAATCTTTTTCTATGAAGGTGTAAACTTTTAGATAAATGTCATTATAGATCTCAAAATTTTTAAGGATGATGGAAAAAATTCATCATGTGGATATTCAGTTATCAATAAAAAACTTTTCAATAACAAAGCCCTATTCTTGGCATAAGGATTGATATTTGTGTAATATCATTCAAAACCAATAGGACTTTGGCATGAAATCCTTTTCCTTTTACACCATAACAATTGCATTAACAAATTGCATGCTATAGCTTGTGATTAGGTTGGGTGGAAGAGAGGATTTGACAAAGTGTCCTTGTTAAAGGATTAGAGTGTGTTTGTGTCTTTTGTTTTAGTCTAAATAATATTAATTAGTAGAGGATTAGCAATAATTCAGCTCAGTCCGACAGGAGCAGAGACGCTAGAACCAACACACATGTAAACTCTTAAGAAGCCTGGCCAGCGTTTCTCCATACAGCAAGACGTTCTGGCCACACTGCTGAAGGTAGTGCTTAGCTTTGCTTGCTGCTTTGATCACATTCGAGCCACGTTTGACTGCTTGGAGAGCTTGGCCTAGGAGACCCTGCCATTGCAACTCACGGGAATTCAGCTGGTTGTTCTCTTGGTGAACGCGATATGCTTTGCCTCGATTGCGATATCTCGAGCTTCTGGTACGTGTTCTTGTATCTTCTTATGGCACTCCATTGGATGGAACTTGAAGTCGATTCGTGCTGTGGAGCTGGTCCTTTCACACGAATGAGTCTTGCGCTGATTCGTACACAGACGTCTCAGTACCAGAAATTTCTGTGTCCAAATCTGATAACTTACATTTTTTCTCGACTGCAAGGCCGCCTACTTGATCATGTAAACTTTTGGCATTTCTGTGCCCAAATCCGACAACTTGTTTGCAGGCAACACTGTCCTCTGACACCAAGATTTAGTTGGTAAATCTAAACAGGTCAACACAACACGAAAAGAGAGTACCTTGTTTCCTTACCTTCTTGTCAAGTCAAAATTTGCTAGATTGAAGGTTCTTTTCTTCAGATTCTCCGGGATCATAACGTGACAAGAAAGGCTATTGCAGTATCTATCAGTATCTCGGTGTAGCCATGTTGAAAAGATGGTTTTTTAGGACTGTTGGCACGGAGACCAGAGGCTGGCCGCAGTTCAACGCCCCATCTACCACCCAGATTTAGTCAATTCAAGTCAAAACGTTTTTATAGTTTCTTGTTTAGAAAGAGACTTAGTGCTTTACGTCTTGGTTGAAAAATGTTTGGCAAGATATTTCTATCGAGATACTGATTGTTCCTCTGTAGCTTATCTTGTCACGACATGATTGCACGTTGGAAGGTCTCTCTGCATTGCATTCGAAGAAGCTATGGTGAGTTTTCTATCATTCCCCCTGTCTTTCTGAGTGGCAGCTCGAAATATGTCTCATCAAACAACGCAGGAAATGGAGAGCAATGCACAAACCCACCTGTATGCTCAAAACGGAACTCTGGATTTCAAGGGCCAGCCCGCTCTGAAGAAGAAAACTGGAAAATGGGCCGGAGCGATCCCTATGATCTGTAAAGTTTCTCCAACGCTTTGCAAAGCTTTCAGTGTCTTGACTTTGCGAGTGTGTTGCAGTCATCCAAGTAGCTGCGACGGTCATCTTCTTCGGCATAATCTCCAACCTGCTGACATACTTGACGGGTGTTATGCATCGAGATGTTTCTCAATCCGCAAGTGACGCTAACAATTTGCAAGGCACTTACTTTCTCTCCTCAGTTCTTGGGGCTTTTCTCTCCGACACATATTGGGGCCGCTACAGGACGCTGCTGTACTCTTTCGTGCTCTACGGCGTGGTGAGTACTTCAAATTCTATCTGCAAAACTAGCTTTACCAACACCAATCCAAAAAAAAAAAACAAAAACTGAAAAACTTGCCAGGGATTGACATGCCTCACCATCTCCGCATCCCTCAAGAACTTGCGGCCTCCAAGCTGCCCGGCTCAAAGCCCCACATGCCAGCAAGCATCGCCCGGACAGAATGCTTTCCTCTTCCTCTCGCTCTATGCAATAGCCTTCGCAGGTGGAAGCGCTACCACCTCATTCGTGTCCTTCGGAGCCGACCAGTTTGACGAGTCTGACAACGTCGAGCGGCTGCAAAAGTTCTCCTTTTTCAACTTCATCGTCTGGGGCATCCACATCGGAGGCTTGGTATCCGTCACCATGCTCGTCTACATTGAAGATCACGTCGGTTTCTCGTGGGGATTCGGCCTTCTCGGCATTATCCTTGCGGTATCCATAGCTCTCTTCCTCATCCAGACCCCAAGATACCGGTACCGTAGGCCCGAAGGAAGCCCCCTTACGAAAATGGTGCAAGTCATAGTGGCAGCTTTCCGCAAGCGTAACGTCGTCGCACCATCCCTGGAGCTCCACGAAGAACAGTCGATTGCCAAAGGCAAAAGACACATTCCACACACCAACCAGTTCCGGTGAGTGACTGTAGCTCTCGACTTTTCCCTGTTCTTAGCTTCGTTCGTCCAGGTTTCTTGACAAGGCAACGCTGAAGCTCGATACCGACATGGAGATGGAGTCTTCCACGACGAAAACCAGCCCCTGGAAGCTTTCCACCGTGACCCGAGTCGAGGAAGTCAAGCTCGTCATACGAATGCTCCCAATCTGGCTGGCAACGCTCTGGTTTAGCATTGCTCCATCTCAGTCCGGCACCTTCTTCCTCCGCCAAGGAATGGCTATGGACAACCGGCTTGGAAGCACCACCTTTAAAATCCCGCCAGCGTCAATGCTTCTCTTCAGCAACCTCACCGTGGTCCTCTTCCTCCCACTCTACGACCGTATCATCGTCCCAACCATAAGAAAGTTCTCCGGGAACGAGCGCGGCATCACCTTGCTCCAGAGAAGCGGGCTGGGAATCTTCATCGCCGCCATCGGCCTGGGCATCGCAGCGCTGATGGAAATCAAGAGAAAAGCCTGGATGAATCCCACCACCAGCGTCACGATCTTCTGGCTGGTGCCGCAGTACGTGGTGCTGGGCATAGCGGAGGGCCTCACAAACTCAAGCCTGCTGGAATTCTTCCACGAGCAATCGCCCGACACCTTCCACAGCCTGGGCACGTCCCTGGCGCTCGCGAATCTGGGCGTGGGGAGCTTCTTGAGCAGCGTCCTCGTTACCTGCGTCAATCGCGGGGCGCCGTCGTGGCTCCAGAACGATGTGAATGCCGGGCATCTGGAGCGCTACTACTGGCTGATCGCGGGGCTGAGCCTCGTGAATCTGGGGATCTATGTGCCGGTCGCGCGCTGGTACTCGTACAAGAGCCCTGATCCCTACGCCGAGACATTCTAAGAACCCTAAACTGCCGGTCATCCTAATTTCTTTTTACCTTTAAATCTCTTACGTAGAATTGTTTTTCTCTCACAGATAACTGTACAAATAGAATGGAGAGTAAATCATTTTAATATAATTTTAATAGTGGTTTTAATTTTAATTTAACATTATATTTAACCTAAATCATTTTTAATTACGTGCATTCTTTTAAATTTCCTTAAGCAAACCTGATAGTAAATATGTTTAGAATATACAAAGATATTCTAGGATATTCTACCATCTAACGGTTATTATTTATTTAGATTAATTTTGTAATTATAATTTATAAACATATTTATCATTTATAAACTTTCCAAAACACTTTTTTGTATATTCTAGTTTATTCTACCATCTAATAGTTAATATTCAATAGTATATTCTAGTGTATTCTAACATCTAATAGTTGATATTCAATAAGATTAATCTTCTGTTTATAAATTATAGATATGTTTATAATTATAAACTTCCATTTTATCAATTAGAATAATAAATAGAAATAACACTACTATTAAGCAAACCAAATATTAATGCATGCAATGGGCATCAAATTATTTATTTTCATATATAGCTAAAATCATTATAAAATAATAAGTAAATTTTTATATAAATTTATTAAATAACATTTACTATATATATATATATTTAAATTTTTTACTTTATAACAAAATTTTCAAGATTCTTCAATACTTATATATTTCGAATAGAGTAAAGCTGAAAACTTTATTTCAATGTCGAAATATTCATAATATTATTTTAAACAATTTTTATTTTTGCTAAAAGAACTGTGTTCTTATAATTTAGAATAAAATTGATTGTAAATTTTCATTGAAAGTATCATGAGTTATATCACCATTAAATATTATTTTATTATATTGTACAAAAGAAAATATGAGTAACAATGTTAAGTTCAGTATTGATAGTTTATAGTATTTGTGAAAAAATTAAATGTTAACAATAAAAGAGAATTCAATAGTTTTAATTATGCACAAAATAATAACTAAATAGACATAGATTTTATTAACATATATTTGGAAATAGGATTAAAAAAAATAATTTGTATTTTAACAAATAAAATATAACTCGTGAAAGTGCGAAATCAAGAACGATATAACATATGAATGAAAAACTGAATAATAATGCCACCAACAGTGAATTTATTTTATTTGATTGTTTTCATGTTATTTTTTTATACTTTTTTATTTATTCCTTCTTTTTTGGTGGTCAGTATGCATTTTCATTAACAACCACAAATATTTTTATGGTACTTTTAGCATTTTTGCTAATCACCTTGGGTACTTTGACAGCTTGAGGGGCCGAAGTTATTTGAATAACCTTGGGCAAATAATTTATTTTTAAGTTTTTATTAATTTTTTCTAATAATTATTTTAATTTATTTAAATATATATAAATTATAGATTTAAAGTTATATTATTTAATTGCATTATAAAAGTTCTAAGTAATAAAATTTCATAAAACATATATACTGTTTTTGTAATGTTAAATATGTTTTTAGAAAAAATTGAAATATAGGGTAATAAATCATTTGAATATTATTTATATAACATATTATTTTTATATTAGTACTTTAATTATTATTATAACTTTTTATTTTTCATTAACTCTAACTCACTAGTGATAGAAGTGATGTGAAAAAAATATTTTTACACAAGAAATAAAGATGATCTTTGCACATAATTTGAAAGCATATAGCAAATTGCATCTATTATATTAAGATATATTGTAATCTTTTCTCATTTTTAAAAAGTCTTCTATCATTTAATTGAAATTAAAAATAATTCATTACTTATTAAATATTTTTAAAGTACTTTAATTTATTTAAATCATATTTTTTGTACATCTGAGTTCAGCATCTATTCAAAATTAAAGTTAATTCTAAAAACTATGATTGAATAAAAGTATATAATTATAATTTAATATATATATATATATTTTAACTTTATATAGCATGGCTTAAGCCCGAGCTAATCCTTTTCCTGAAGTTACAGATTCATTTTGCCAACTTCCTTTACTTTCATTGTTCCATCAACTAGAGGCTGCTCACCTTGGAGACTGGATGCGGCTATGAGGCAAGCTCAACACTCACTCCTCCAGATTTTCAAGGACCACCAGGGACTTTCCTCTTCCCACCCATTTTATAATCCTGCTAGCAAATCCTCCACACCAAAAATCACCAAGAACTAGCACGGGCAGTGCAGTGATAAACTACACCACACCACCAACATCATGCGACAATCGTTGCAATGAATGCCAACATGAAGAAATTAATCTTCGTACAAACAGCTAAAGTTCTCCGGAAACTTTCAAGTACTACAGCGAGAGGAGAAATTTCTTTCTTTTCTTTCTCTCTTCTCTCATACATCCTCGCGTGGAGGTGGTGGCAGCGCCGCTGGAGTGGCAGACATCTCCTCCTCGTTCTCGCCAGACAAGTCCTCGAGCGACCGTCCATTTGTCTCTGGAACAAAGAACGTAAACAGGAGCCCCAGAGCGTTGCATCCTCCCAGCATCAGGAGCGCCGTCCGGATCCCCAGTCCAGTCGGGTAGCCATGCTCCTGCTGCCCTTCGTGTTGGTTCTGCGACAAGTAGAGGAACCCGAAAGCTCCAACGATGGCCCCGGCCTTTCCAGCCGCTGCCGAGATCCCGTGACAAGTCGATCGCAGCCGGGCCGGGAAGAGCTCCGCGGGGACGATGAAAGTGGTGGAGTTGGGCCCAAAGTTTGCGAAGAAGAAGGTGAGCGAGTAGAGCACGATGAACGTCATGTGGTGGCCGCCGCAGAAGCTGTCACCGCACTTGTCCCCGCGGAGCTTGTAGTAGGGGATGGCGAGCGCGAACATGAACACGGTCATCATGAAGAAGCCCATGACTTGGATGGTGAAGCGTCCAATCTTGTCGATGAGAGCCACCGTGAACCAGTACCCGGGAACCGTGGAGCACAGCGCGATCAGTGTCTGTGCTCGCGAGATCCTGTAGACTTCCTCCATCGCGCTCATACTTCCAGGCCCCGGGAGCCATCCCACCGCGGTGAAAACGTCCTTTTGGAAGAGGTTCTGGCTGTAGAAGGCGACGTCTAGGAAGAACCATGTAGTCGTGGTGCCCAGGAGCTGGAGGCCGTGTCGCCTCGCAAACGCTTTCGTAAAGAGACCAAACTTTAGCTTCTGCATCGGGGACTCATGCTTGACAGGTTCCGTGGCCACCTCCATCTCGAGAACTTTGCTCATATCTTGCGTGGCCTGCTTGAGATTCCCTGCCACGAGAGCCGTGTAGCGAGCGGTCTCGGGCATCTTCATCCGCCAGTAGAACGTAAGCGCCGCCGGGATGGCTCCGAGCATGAAGATGAGCCTCCACGCAAAGTCCGCCTCGGTTGGAGTGGATGCTATCTGATTCTCGTTGAAAGATGGCGCCGGATAAGCATGGTTGAACGCCGCGGAGATCACCAGCGACACTATCCCGCCGGCCAGGATTCCAAATCCTTGCATGGCAAACACCGCCGCGATGAATGCCCCGCGCGTCTTGGTGTTGGCATACTCGGACATGATCGTGGCCGAGAGAGGATAGTCGCCACCGATGCCGAATCCAAGCCAGAACCGGAAGAAGCACAGCGTTGTCATCACCGACTTGGCAGTGTGGCCGAAGGAGAGCCCCGAGGCGATCGAGCAGATGACCATGAGCATGAGCGTCATCCCATAGACTTTCTTTCGTCCCAGCTTGTCACCGAGCCAGCCGAAGAAGAGCTGGCCGGACAGAGTCCCGCAAAAGGCCACACCGTTGACGGCCGCCGCTACGTTTGCTGGGAGTGCTCCGGGCTTTCCAGTGGTTGAATCGTAGTAGTAGATCCTTCCCAGGAGCTTGGTCACGGTGGAGATGCAAAAGAGATCGTAAGCATCCGTGAAGAAGCCCATACCCGCGATGAGAATGGCGGTGAAGTGGTACCACTGCGTCTTGGCCTTGTCCAAGGCGGACAGCACCTCGAGCGCCATCGCTGTGCTCGCGAAAGAATTGCCCCCTTCCTGCAAACAGTGTGACAAAGATTGAGAGAGAGGTGTGATGAAAGCAAAGATCTTCCCAGGTATAGTGGAGGAAAAAAAAAAGTCCAGGAAAGACCTTTTCACTCCAAGAATCAGGGATTGCAAGCACAGGTCTGGAAGAGGAATGCCAAGAGATTGGAGATGGAATGCGAGAGATTGGAAATAAAATGCCGGCAAGAGAATCGAGAATGAGGATGGAAATCGATAGCAATGGAAGGAAACGCGATCGAGAATGGTAGAGCACGAAAATCTGCGCAGATTACCTACTGGCGATTCGATGCCGCGATGCGCACGTTCGTGGTCGTCGTCTTCTGGGATTTTCAAAGCCCTAGCCTCATGCAAGGAAGAAGGTCAATTTATTCGCAAACTGGATTCGCATATCCAGATATTTGACTATTCTCTGAGTGCCACGCGGCAAGATCTTGCACTTCTATATTACGTACGGAAGAACGCGCACACTAAACACAATCAAGAGTACGGAAAAACACTCAGGCGTACGGATGAACATTGTCAAAAATTGGCGATTGACTTCAAAGACTTTTGGGGGGAGAGTTTTATTTGACAAGTCTCTTTGTGGGCTTCCTTCTTTTTTTCTTTAAAGCTATATGTACTATAGCGATGTGTAGAAAAGTGTTGGCGCCTGTCGCTTTATACTCTAGCAGCGAGCCAAGTTCCAAAGAGGATCACCCAAAACGACGCTGTGAGTTTGGTCCCCACATTCTTCGCACTGGGAACGATCGTGAAGTTTCCTGGGGAAAAAAAATGAGTTTTTTAGAAGGAAAAGTTGGATTCTAGATCTTAGGAAAGGGGAATTTACCGGTGGAGCAGCCAGTGTGGAGCGATCTTCTCACGTCATCTGTGCTTGCCTTGTTCGTGAAGAGGAAGTGGGACTTAACTCGGTCGATACACTTGAGCACTACCAAGGTTTGGTTGGCGCAAGGCCCGCAATAGTCTGGGACGCTGGTAACGTTGAGAGAACCATGGTAGTCAAGTCTGGTACAAGACGAGCTCTGTACAAAACATATATGATTGAAAACTTGGAAAAACAAAAGAAAAGAAAAACTCTCTCACCTGGTTTTTCAAACACAGAGCCGCAAAATGCCACTGCTGGTTTGGATTCGCAAAGGCTTTCCCGAGAGGATAATCTTTCAAGGCGTAGGATGGGAGTTGAAGTTGAGCATAAGCTCCTGGAAAGATCACGCACAAAGATTAGATTTTTCCAAACCAAGGATCAATCAAGCACAAACCTGCTGCGAGGAACGCGACGATGAGTGTCACCAGCTTGACATAATCCTGTCCCATATCCATTGCCTCCTCCTTTCCCTCTCGTTGACACGGCAAATAGTCTCTCTTAAATGTCCTCGTTTGGATATTCGAACATCCTTCGAGGGAGACGAGTTGTCCAATGCATTCTTGTCCACCTTATCTCGTTTCGAGCGTCACCGTTTGAGAAGCCTTGCATTATAAACAAAGGAGCAAAAATTTTCTCATGTAGAAGAGTATAAAATTGCCTCTTACCCAAGCGCTACGACTACAGGAAATCCGTGTCGTTCTCCTGCGAGAGAACTCGTAGCATCTCGCTTGCTGCAGGACTTCCAAAACTATAAAGAACAAAAAACACTCCCATGCAAAGCGCGAAGGCCTGCGTCAAGCGCTGGAACTCCGGAGCTTCGCCAGACATTACCATGTTGTCATCAAGATCTTCTAGCCGGGTATTCATTTGACCGGCTTTTGGAGTAGCCAAAAGACCAAACAAAGTGCCTACTGCTGCCGCACCAACATGAGTCCTGTAAGAACACGCAAAAGTTTAAGAAACTGGAAACTTGGCGAAGTTACGCGTCATAGTTTTCGAGAAACTAGCTCACCAGTTATCAGCAGGCAACGCATCCGTCAAAGCCAAGTGTAGAGCGCTCATAACGAGGATCTTTTGTATCACGTCACTCGTGATCCCTGCTTGCATCTCTTTGCCGAAACTCTGGCGGTTCTGGATAATGTAGACGGCCCATGCAGCGACTAGAGCGTAAAGAGGACCCTGTCACAGCATCATTTTGCCAAAACTTGTGTCAAAACTAGATCGAAAGTTTTGGAGAAAACTTACAGTGCCACCGACTGTTGGAGCTGGAGTGAGGAAATAACTCGTGATGTTCCCGAAAATTCCTCCAAGTAGATAGATCATACAAAACCCGGCCGGACCATAGACGGACTCCACTCCCGGACCGAAGGAGAGTAGAGCCCAGGCACCGAGGCCGATATGGATGAGACCATCGTGCTACAAACACAAAGAACAGACAATGAGAAGTTGGCAGAACTAAGTTCACACGAAATTTACCAAGAACATTGGAGTGACTAGTCTCCACCACTGTCCATCCGCAATGAGAGAGTTGATCTTAGCTCCGACTAGAAACGGGAGAGGAACTTCGACCATCTCGGGAGTTTGAACGGGGCTCGCGAGACCAAAGAGAAAGACAGCGGCATTTACACCTATGATCACATTCCTGCGAAAGAACAAATAGTAAAAACAGAATCAAAGGAAAAAAAATCCAGGAAAAGCAGAGAGTTTCTTCATTTTTACTTCTTTTTTCGTGAGTACTTACGTGAAAGTAGAAGCATTTCTTGGAGCAAAGTCCGTAGGAAGAGTTTTAGCGTCGTCCTTTTGAAAGCTTTTGTCTAGCTCGTGTAGAAAACTAAGAACTTTCTCATCTTCTTCTACTGGAGCTTTGGGCACTTCTTTCGGAACGTCTGGAAGCCAAAACTGTGTTAGCGATTGATGAATCTCTAGCAAGAAAAAACTAAAGAAATGGCACTACCTTTGGTGGCTGGAACTTGCATTTTGTCGAAGTAGGCATTGAGAGCGTCGAGTCCTTGTAAATCCCCGGACGTATTCTTCGAGTCCTCGATCACAGCCCCGGAGCTTGCCGAATTCTCCACCGCAACGTCTTTCGCAGCGCTACTCTTGTTTTGGAGCTTGCTGAAGTACGAATCTAACGAGCTCAGTAGCTTTGTCTCCCGATTCTTTCGAGGAGAAGGAGAATTCTCCAGGGAGCTCGGAGTGCCAGTGTTACAGCAAAGTGGACGCAAAACACTCGCCCTGTGCACTCTAGATCGAAAATTCGCTCGAGCATTCGGCTGGCATGACACACTTAGCTTGCAAACGCTTGCCATTTTCCTAGCGGATACGATCCTCCTACCTTGCTGGAATTTAAGAACGAGAAGCTCAGCCCTATCTCCATCTGGGAAAACAACGGCAAAGATTTAACCACGTGGACAGGATAAAGAACCCCAAGTAGCGAATTGCAGCTTCCCACCTGGCAAACATCTGCCACATCGGCAAGCCGGCCACGCTCTTCACATTTCCAAAGAACACGTGAACTTAACAAAGAAAATCGGCGGCTTATTCCATACCTTCCAATCTTTTTGTTTTTCTCTTTACAATCTTTGCACGATCACACGTAAAACACTGTACGATCACTGTACGACCTTTGACACTTCGGGATCCACTGTTGTTTACCTTTAAAACATTGCTTGGAAATGATCATGCCTGGCGATTCCCAAAAGAGAGAAATGATTTACAGTTTTTTCTGTCACGCGCTTAAGCCTTTTCTCAACTCGTCGTGTTGGAAGATTGTCCTGTTCGACGGGTTGGAGCTAACTTTTCTCGCGGCCGGGAAGACGAACCAGGCCATGGACGCGAACACGATCGCCGCGACCATCCCGGTGCTGGTGAGCCCGAAGAGGATCACCACGACGATGAGCATCACTTGGACAGCACCCCCACCGTTGCCACCAACGCAGCTCTCGAGTTCTTCCTGCTGCTGGAGATGATTTAGCCTGCTTTGGTGATGGCTTCTCTGCTCGCTGTGATGCCTATGAGCCGGACTTCCACCTTGTTGTTGCTCGGTTTGATGCCTATGAGCCGGGCTTCCACCTCGTTGCTCGCTTTGAAATCTCGGCTGGTGTCTGTGGGCCGGACTCCCACCTTGTTGTTGCTCGCTTTGATGCCTGTGCGCCGGACTTCCACCCTGTTGTTGCTCGCTTTGAAACGGATTGTTCCTCGGTTGGTGTCTGTGGGCCGGACTTCCGACTTCCTGCGGCTTGTCCGAGCTGAAAAACGTCGAGCAGCTCATCACCGGGCTCACCGGTGTGCTCGCTGACGTTGTCCTGCTGAAGTCGCTGGTGTTGCTGAAACTTCCACCTGATCCAAACTGATGGGGTTGCCTCGGGGAAGTAGGGGCCGAAACACAGCTCATCGAGCCCGGCAGTGATCTCATTGTTACCGAAGGCGCAAAACTGAGGTCGCTGTTGGGCTGCTGCGGGAAATTCACCGGAAGGTAACGAGCCCACATCGGTCTCAAGTGCCTAGCGATGAAAGACGAGGTGATGCCGGCCACGACCGCTATCAGCACGTCCACTATTGCCGCGACTATCATGATGAACAATGTGATTGCCTTGAGCGCCTTCCTCGTCCCGTGTTGTAACTCGTGGACAAGCTGCTCAAACTTGACGGACAGCCAAGATTGTTTGCTGCAATCCTTGAGGCTATGGCTTTCCTCCTCGACGGAAGCTTGATCCGAGACAACGTCATCCCCGGTCTTGCTCTCCGCGGAAGAATTCTGCTTGTCTAGCCGAGTCAGAGGCTGCGAATCCCCTCGAGAAGGGGTGGACGATGAGCGACTCCTGCCAACTACAACCGGTACCCAGTCCCTTCCTTTGGACGTGCCCCTCGTGAACCAAACATCCGAGGTAGACACCCCTTCCTCAGCGGCAATCGAAGCTCGCAGTTTCTCCAGCTCGGAGTAGACCTCGTTAAACTTGTCCATCCCTCGGTTCTGGAATGGATTCTGCTTCCCCTTGGAAGAGCCGAACTTCGGTGACTTCCGCCTGCTGATCTTGCTCATTGCTGCTGCTCTCGAGACGAAAAGGCTTGATCCAGATCTGGAGTGTTTGTCGCCAAAATTAGATTTTGATGCTCGCTACCGCTTCCACAAATCCCTGCTGGGTCTACTGCTACTGGGTATATCTATCGCGGGGAATGGCCAATTCCACGCTCTCATCTCTATCGATCTCGTGTTGACTAGCGCTCGTTGCTACACCTGCGTCTTCCTGGCTAACCCAAAGACTTATTCTGCCCTGGAGTGTGTGAAGCCGGCCTCACACCCTGCCGGAAGCTTCCCGAGGGAAATTCCATTCGTTTGACTCCGCCAACCGTTGCGCCAGTTAATCTCGGCTCCACGTCGGCTCCACGCTGGGTAACCGAGCTACCACGTTGGCGTTTTCTCTCGTCCAAGTCACCACCTTCTCGAACTCTTTATTGCTTCAACGCTCCAAACGTCACCTCGCAACGAACAAAAAGCTTATTTGGTTTGCAAATTTGGATGGGTTTGAACATTCAAAAGAACGTACCTCAGTCATCCTCCAGAAGCTTTCATCTTTTCAACAACTCGGCTGAACGCTTAGCCCATCGTTGTCCTCTTTTGATGGTTGAATCCAGCTTGGCTAAGAACCTCTTGCGCTGCTGACTGGCTTCAATCTCATCTAGAACATCAAACTCCCGCTCGGCAGCAATCGCCTTGAAAATCGGGTCTCGGAGCTCAAAATATGGCCCTTGGGAAGCTTCGAAATCACGGTCATCCCCGACAACATATAACCTCTCATCGGATGTATCCATTGGAATGTCAGCAGCCAGCAGCTTCACATGGTACTGCAGAAAATATCTCACATAAATCAGAAAAAGCCAAAAAAAAAAAAAAACCTTTGAAAAGCATACCTGTCCTCCCTCTTTGATGACCTCGCTGCTCACCATGCCTCGTCTCTCGTAGCCTTGGACTGGAAACACAATAAAGCACCGCTTGCAGCTCAGCCTTGGCCTGAGGTCCTGGAGCTTTAAGTCACCCCCGGATGTAAAATAAGCACGAACTTTTCCACCAACAACTGGATGGCCCATCACCTCCATAAATCCGGCAGAACTTTGCAGCTTGCGCATGACAATTCCATAAACCGTCTCGGGATTGATGGTGTGTCGCGTTCTCAAAGCTAGACCCTGCAGTAAAGAAGAGAAAAAGATCAAAAAAGGATACAAGAAGTAGAAATGTATATGCCTACCGCGCAAACGACTGACGAAGTCGTAAGAACGAGCAATCCAAACTGAAAGGAGAATTTCGATAATCCCACCAGCAGCTCACTAATGTTGATAACCACCTTCCAGAGAACTATGGACATACCAGAGCCTAGAGCAGCAAGAAGAATCAGCCGGTTCCTCCTACAAAAGGCCTCCAAGCGAAGCGCCATGGCTTCCTTGTAACCCGAGTCCAAATTCTCAATGCGTCGAGCAACCGGCTGCAAGGTTCCAGCGATCGAATTCCAGGCGGTGTTGGACACATTCTCGGCAGCTCGCAGTGCCACCAGCGCCTTGGACACAGCAGCCTGCTTGAAATCCGCGACCTTCTTCTCCGCGATCCTGAAATTCCTCGCGGGATAGCTGCCGCGGAGGAGATCTTGAGCTGCCGAATGAAATGCGGGAGGCCGGATCGATGCTGCTGCTATCCTAGATGATCTACTTACGAGGCGCCCCCAGCCGCGGTGCGCCATTCGGCCCCTCAGCCCTAAAACAGAGGCTTTCGAAAAGGGGTTAAATGGTATATGCTCTGAATATTCTTTTAGGGCAAAGCATAGCATATTCGTTTCTCCATTCTTAAGCTGTGCCGACCTTAAAGAGAGGACGTCCATTTCTTCCCGGAGAGGCGAAATGGCGGAAGCGATGCCGTCGAGGAGGCTGCTAAGGAAGGTCTGGCGCGTCGCCGCGGTGTTCTTCCGGGGAGATCGCAAGCGCAAGGCCTACTGGCTGCTATCGATCGTGCTCCTCCTCTGCGCGATCTGTGCAGGTATGCCTCGTATTTCCTTCCGGCTAGCTCGATCTGATCCAGGATGCTGGAAAATATTTCGGCCGCCAGGGGTGATGGTGTCGATTTCCTACATCCAGCGGGATCTTTCCACGGCGGTGTCAAACAAAGACGTCGCTGGATTCCACAAGGCTCTCTGGAAATTTATCGGTGTTGTTGTGGTGGCCACTCCTCTTCTAGCGTTCTACAAGTATAGCCAGGTAGCCTACATTCTTTAGCTCCTCGTTTTTTTTTTTCTTTGCGAGTAACTCGTTGTTCTTTCAGGAGCTTCTAGCGGTCGAGTGGCGGGTCTGGCTTTCAAATTTGCTGCTGACAAGCTATTTCAGTTGAGAGCTTTGTGCTCTACCAAGGGTTTTGGTTTTAATTCTTTGCTCATGAACAGCGAATAGAGCCTACTTTGACCTCAAGATGGAAGGCAAAGTCGACAATCCGGATCAACGAATTTGCGAAGATGTATCCAACTTTGTTCTCAATGCGGTCGATATCCTCGCAATTATTGCCAGCAAGTGTTTGAATGTCTGCGCGTTTACTGGAGTTTTATGGTATGTTCCTTTTGTTTGCTCGTTCTCGGAAGGATATCGTGTTTGCATTGCAGGTTTATTGCTCCAGAACTCGTGTATTTCTTGCTTGCGTATTCCATCGTTGGAACATATGTCACTGTTCGATTTTTTGGAGCGAAGATCATGCATCTAAAGTATCAGGTACTGTGCTATCTGTTTAGTTACAACTAATTACATAACAAAACCACAGAACTTACAAAAAGAAGCTGATTTTCGTTACTCCATGGTTCGTGTACGAGAAAACGCTGAAAGTATCGCTTTTTACAGGGGCGAGGGTCACGAAGTAGCTTCCGTGAAGGTAATACACATTTCGTGAAGAAGGCCATAGGTAATTCGTGACTATGCAGGCATTTCTAGCTTCTCTTGTTGGAAACATGCGAGAACTTATAGCATGGGACAGACACCTATCGTTGTTCAGTAATGCTTATGAGTTCTCGATTTTTATTGTTCCTTACCTGATCATTGCTCCAAAGTTTTTCTCCGGCCAGGTTATTGTGTTTCTTTTCTGTGATTCGTTCTTGATTTGGCGTGCTATTGCAGGTGGAATTTGGAGTTATATCTCAAACTGCCATGGCCTTCCACAAGATCTTAACGTCCATGTCCTTTATTATTTTGAAGTTCGATCGCTTCAGGTGCGTTACTGGATCTTCGATTTTCACCAACTGAAACCTTCTCTTCAGTGGGCTCGCAGCACAAACAGAACGGTTGGACACCTTATTCATTGCACTCGGTATCCATGACCAGCTGTTTGGAAGCTACAGAAGACAATCGAGCAAGCGCGCTATAGAGCTGCACGTCGAAGACGATACTGATGGTCATCCTTTGCTGAACTTAGCGGACAGCCAAGCTCCAATTTCTGGTACGAGAAAATTTTTGGTCTAGCTCACCGAAACTATTATCTTTGCGTAGGTTCCATAACTCGTGAAGAAGGGGAAGGCCTTGTTGTTCGCGGTCTTTCAGTGACGACTCCAAATCTTCGCACCCAACTTATCCACAATCTATCATTCGAGCTACTTCCTGGGGAGTCATTACTGGTTTTGGGGCCTTCAGGCTGTGGAAAATCCTCGTTCCTCCGAGTGATAGCAGGCCTATGGAGCAAAGGCGCCGGTATCATCCAGGTGCCTCTACAGAAGACAATATTTCTGCCACAGAAGCCTTACATGCCTCTGGGAACTCTCCGACAACAGCTATTATTTCCGGCACTGTCATCAGAGTACTTTTCGGATGCAGAACTTTTCAAGGTGCTTGAGGAAGTGAGCCTGGAAGATCTAATACAAAGAGTCGGAGGCCTGGACTCAGTGTGTGACTGGTCAGACGTGCTCAGCTCTGGAGAGCAGCAAAGAGTGGCATTTGCACGGCTGCTTCTACACGAGCCTCAGATGGCATTTCTCGACGAGGCAACGAGCGCACTTGACATGACGAATGAATCGAAGCTTTACGCACTGCTCCAACGCAAGATCAAATCGTATGTTTCGGTGGGGCACAGGATTTCATTAATTAAGTATCACTCCAGAGTTTTGGAGTTCAAAGGCAGCTCCGGCTGGAAGCTATACACTCAAAAAGAATTCCAAGTACACATATAGGTACGTTTTGCCAGTTTTTTATTTTCCTTCTGATCGAGATGGGTCCTTCGTTGATCAGGGAAAACAATCAACAAGAACAGTCTCTAAGAACATATGCCCATCAAGTCAAGGTTTTTAGTAGTGTATTTAGAGCTTTGGCAACTTCTAAAACGTAGTTGTGACGTCTTTTCCAGGAACGCAAGTGTTCGGGGGAGTCATCTGCAGCTGCGAGCTATACTTGAAAATCGTATCCTTGATTTTCGACACAGATGCAAGATCCTGGTTCAGAGCTGCTGCTAATGCTCGCGCGGGGACATTAAACAGCGCTCCTCCACTCGTCTGGTAAAGTTTTTCGATCGATTAGTTCTTTTGTTTAAAATACTTATTAGAGTGCTTACCAGTGTTCCAGGATTCTGTGAGTTCAAAGCCGAGATGTAAAACGCTTGTTCTGTTCCGACATTGACCTCGAAGTGGAGCATTCCTCGAGGGAAGATCGTAACATCTCCAGGATGCAACACGTTGATATGAGGTTTCCCTGCAGTCGAAAAACTCCGTTCGATCACTCGAATCGCCCCTCAACAACGTCTTACCTTCAGTGTCTACAAAACCAACTTGGAGCGGCCCTCCAGACACCATGGTAAGCATCTCAGTTGCTCGTGGATGCGTATGAGGCAAATTAACACCGCAGGGAGTCATGTTGAAGTGGACATAAGTGAGTCCCTGGGAGCTGCAAGGAGTTTAGGAGGTAAGCACACGATTGATCCCATCTAAGATCAAACTAAAAGGCTGCTTTTTCTTACTCCATAGCCGGGAAGATCTTGGTCGAGAGCCCTGCTCGAACTCCGCCGGGTCCATTGGAGACGTCGCCATTTTTAAAGACATCACGAACCACGAACTTGGACGAGTCCGGCGATTGCTGCTGCTGCGGCTTGGGGTAGTGATACGGGAAGTTATTCTCTGCGGTGGACGACGCAAAATCGGTGAGTGGATCCGGATCGGCAGCTCCCGCAAAGCTCGCGAGAGTGACGAGAAGAATCATCATCGACATGACGAAGGCTCTTACTTCAGCCATGGAGAGAGGGAGGGAGTGATGGAAGCAAAGAAGGAATTTAACTGGAGTCATGGAGCTAAGACAATGGTGGAGTATATAAATGGTTTTGTGGATGAGAGGATCAATCGTTTTCTCAGTCCAGCCCAGACACCACTCTAGTGTTTGTTTGATGCGAAAAATCCAATTATGCTTATAATGTGCACTTGTCTACCAAAGGTTGAGTGGGTAACGAAAATTTCCAACGCACTATAGATTTTGCGCGTGGGATCATTGGTCGATGCTAGCTTGACCACCGTTGAATAAGTCAACACATTCTTGTGACGTCATCGAATTGATTCGTTGACTAGCGCGTTTGACTAATCGGAGCTTTTGAGTCAACTTAATTGACTAGCTCGAGAAGACCCGACACACCGCGTCCGTGTGAGAGTTCCACGGCGCAGTCTGCGATCACCTGTGGATAAAAACAGTGTAGAAACATCACTGGAATCACGGGAAGGCAAAGATTTTGGTTTTTTACCTGGGCCATCTTTGCGTACGAGAGTTGTGTCACTCCAGCGACGTGGGGAGTGAGAATGACCTTGGGGTGCTGCAAAATCGGGTCTTGAGGATCGTATGGCTCGTGCCAAGCAACGTCCAAACCCAGTCCTCCCAGATGCCCCGACTCAAGGCCATCTCTCACGGATTTGTAGTCCAAAAGCCCACCTCTGGCAACATTGACAACAAGCGCTCCCTGTTTTAGTTTGCAAGATTAGACTGGAAGAATCGCAAACGCGACGCGATACCTTCTTCATGGAGTTTACGAACTTTTCGTTCACCATTCCAGCCTACAGACAGTAGAACTTGTCAGGAATTCCAAGACGAAAGGAGATATGGCTCTTACTGTTTCAGGAGTCAGGAGGCAGCACAGAACGATGATATCAGCTCGGCTGGCAAAGTCGTATAAGGAGTCCCCGCTGCCCTTTTCATCCACCAGCAAATCTTCGTTCTCCTTGAGGTACTGAAACAACTGGTGAGATTTACGAGTTATCAGGCCATCTGCTAGAAGAGGATTGTCTGGAAACTACGACATCAGAGATAACCAAATCAAAAACGAAAAAAGATCATAAGAAGAGTTTCAAGAGCCTTGCCTTCCGGATGAAGAGAACTATTCTTCTTGGACCACGAACGTTTAGTCGCAAGAACTCTGACTCCAAAAGCTCTCAAGCGGATCGCGAGCTCCTTGCCAATATTTCCATAGCCAACAATAAAAACCTGGAGAAACAAAACTCTAAAAGGTTGAATCGATGCGAGTAATCCAGCGCTTACCGTTTTTCCAAACAAAGTATCACCCGTAGGAAATCCCAGGCATTTCTCGCTCACAGACTTGTCCATCCCTTTCTGAAAGGCAAATCCAAAAGTTTTAGAACATAAGAAAACTCTCGCAAGCACCTGGTCACGAAGAAGAGCCAGCATCAAATAAATGGCGTGCTCAGCACACGAAAGAGCGTTTCCAGTGGCATCACTGGCAATTCTTCCTACTTTGATCCCAGCTTTAGTCGCAGCTTCAACGTCCACACCTGTCAAGAATCGTAAGTTCCAGTCAAGAACAATGCTGGAATACCTTCCAGGCCAACACCAAACTGGCAGATAAGCTGCATTCTCTTGGCGAGAGAGATCAAGCTCGAGTCCACTTTCACCATTCTCGCCACGCACATGTCGTATTCGTGGAAAACCTTTGGAATTTCTTGGCAAGGAACAGCGTCGACCTGGGCAAACAAGAACATAGTAACAACACTCGCAAGAACAAGCACAAGAAATCCTCGCTCACCTCGATCTGGCTGTGCGGCTCCAAATACTTCTTCGTCCACCGGAATCCGTCAGGAAACACCGATTCGGGGCCGCAGAAAAGGACTCGCACAGGCCGCACTGGCGATTTCACTTCCACAGGCGTCGCGGCCGCCATGCCCCTCGCTTGGCACCGCAATCTCAGCAGCTGCCGCGATCTACACAAGCCACGAATCATGGAATCGCTGCTTCTGAGGGGGATTGCGACCGCGCATTCACTCCTCTGGAAGAACCCTAGTCTTTCCATTCTTAAACCCTTAACTAAAGGATTCCTTGAATATTCAAAAAATCTTAGTTTTTTTTACTTAAACCCTTTAACTAAACGAAATACTCGACAAAACTCCTTTTCCTCTTTTCTTCAAGAATAGTGCTGTTTGAATAAACTTTAATCAGCCAATATGCCAAGTGCACTCATCTGTGCCAAGTTCTATCTTGAGACACTTGTGATCAACCAAGGACGATCGTATAAACAGGAGATATTTTATCACATTGGAAGCAGCACTAGCACTACTAGCAAGAAACATGAGAAACATGGTGCTCCTCGTTGCAGCTTCAATTCTAATTTTGCTCATGAGCTTTGATCTCTGCCATGGACAGCCCCCGGCTAATCGCCAGTTTGGTGGAATCTTCAGGTGGCGGCTTGGTTTTGCACAGCTTGCCGTGGAGCACGTCGAAGACCTCATGAATCGCCTCGAGGCCTTCGTGGGAAGGAGGTTTAGAGGCAATTTTGGTTACTTTGCAGGAAGGAGCGTGGGATTCGTGGTGGAGTACGCAAACGATGCCTATGTCCGCGTGAGAGTGTGGCTCTACAGCCTAGCTTTCACTGAGAACTCAGACGTTTGCTCCATTGCGCCAAGTCGCGCGAGCCTCCCAGGGGGCGACCTCCTAGACAGCGTTGGGCGGATGATTGCAACCATCCGAGCGGAGCTGCTAGACGTGGGTCGCACGCAACGCTGGTTTGGCGAAGTCAACATAGTGCTCGGCTACTTTGGGATTGAGTATCAGTTCCAGGAAACCCCATTCAACAGCAATCCTGACGATAGGCCTGAAGGAGGTGGTGGATCAAGCGGTGAACTACTTGGGTTTGACCGCACTAACTTCCTTGTTCACCCAGTCAGCACGGTCGTTGGTTTGGGCGTTGACCCTGACGCCGGGAATTGCTGGGTCTTTGCTACGTCTCTAGTTGGCGGGAGTCACCCCCAGGGATCGACGCTGCCCGAGGGGAACAGCTTGGTCTCACCGAGCAGGGAGTTTAGGCTGTCTATGGAGGCCGGGTGTGATCTGGTGGTAAGACGTATCCACAGCGGGGAGATTGTCCGGAGGATTGTTCGTGGGAGGGATCAAGTGTGCGTCTTGTCTCTCTGGAAGAATGGGGTGCTCGTGGTCTCTGAATCGCGGGTGGTCATCTTGAAGACGAAAACAAACTATGGGTCCAAGCATTCGTATGGTCTGGCAATGGAGAACGATGGTCATGCCAGGCTTTATATGACAAACTTGGCAAAACAAATTTGGTCAACCGAGCACATATAGAATAGAAGTGTATGTTCCAAAGTAATACAGTTATGCTAACTTAAAAACGTCCTAGCTCCCGTGACAAGTTTCGAGGAGAAAGAAAAGGAGGCGATCGCTCGCAGTCAATTCCACTGCATGAGACTGCAAAAGTCCTTTAGACTTGGCTCTTTGAATTCTAACTCTCCTAACTTTCTTGGGTGCATTTTAACTCTCGATTCTCAAAAGTTCGTCTACAATCACCACAAAAAACTCGGACTTGGCCGTGAGCAAATGTGAGAAAGCCAGTGCGTCCTTGTTTCAGCGGAATGCCTTGGCACGACCGCACCAATGCTTGGCTGGGAGTATCACCATGCATTCTGGAGGCAACGATTCGTCCTCAACTCCTTACGATTCTAATATCTAGAAACAGCACTTGGCGGAAAAGCATAGAACTCATAAACCCTTCCCGACAAAGTTGTGCTTCCTAAATGCCTTTCTTTGTCCTTGTTCAATGCTCAGGGAAAATGAGCAGCACTGAAATCATTGTCTGGAAACTAGCGACATCAGAGACAAGCATAAAAAACAAAAGAAATAGTAAGAATAGTTCGGACAATCCAGATCAAAAGTTCCAGTCAGAATGTTATACTGGAAAACATTAGAGAACACCAAATTGGCATACAAGCCGCATTCTTTCATAAGATGGCGATTTCACAGGCGTCGCTCCTCAATCTCCGCAGAGGACCATCAGAAAAAGTGAGTGGGCAATTGCGGACATTTGTGCTGTCTAGCCAATGCAAATCATGCTCGCCACCATCTTGCCTTGTTGCATTACTAGCACTTGAGGTATACGGCACAAACTCGTGGACTGCAAACCTCGTTACCGCCTAGGGGCGCGTTGGCGCCCCAGGGAACGATGGAGGCAAGCAAGTAGACCACCAACAGCCTGCCCACGACGTTGGACTTCGAGTGCACTTGCAAGAAGAGGGAGCTGGAGTAGCGGCTAGATCAAAGGATCTCGCAGAGACTTGTCCGAGGTCAACTTCGAGTTCCGATTCAAGGGAGGGATCAATCCAGCCTGGATGGTGGTGAAGCTGGAGAGTATGTTGGCGACGAAGCTCCAAGGATGAAAGGCAGTGCGTGAGTGAGAGGTGATCATGGAGGCAATGCACAGGTTCACGGCTGGCAACGATATCAATGTGATTAGCCTTGAAAGTTTGACAGACTACACACGGGACAAAGAAGGATGATAAAGATGGAGTGGGAGGTAAAGTTTGGGAGGCAGGACGAGGCTTGCATTGCCATGGCCATCAACAAGAGAGGTATGGAACTCATTGCTCATCCTGGTCACTTACACTTGGTTTTCTTGGAGTTGTTTTGTTTCTTTTTCTTCTAACTTCTTCAACTCGTAACGAACCTACAGTTAGGCGTGTAGTTGACCGTTGTTGAACATTCATGTCATGTCATCGAATTAGTTTCGCTGAATCGACTGCCTGGAACAACAGAACAATTTTTCCTGGCCCACGGACATTCAGTCGCAAGAACTAACCAGCCAACGATTAAAACCTGGAGAGAAAAAGAAAGCTCTAAAACTTGAATCGATGTGCCTTACCATTTTTCCAAACAAAATATCACCTCCAAAAGTTTCACAAATCACCTGGTCACGAAGTGGATCATCCAATTTCTACTTTCCCATCCCTGAGGATAAAGAACCCTACTTTCTCCCCAAACATATATACTTGGCGCGCATTGATCGCTGGCCGTCGATATGATGATGTAATCGCCACCGTTGGAGCGCTCAACAAGCTGGAATCTCCACCGTTGGCTCCCCTATGAATAGAAAAGGTTCGAGCCTAGGGTTTCAGGTATAATGGCGACGATCAAGAGCATCGACAAGTGCGTTGCAAGGTACGAATCCCTGCCCGACAAAAAGAAGAGCGGCGCGCTCAAGCAGGGCACAGCAATGGTGAAAGAATTCGTGTTCCAAGTGGCAAACATCGAGGGCGAAGGGCTCGACACACTGGAAGAGGTCAGCGATGCCATTGACCAGTACAACCGGTCAAAGTCTTTTGCGCTCGATGGCTTTGGCGGCGACAGGAAGCCAAAGCTCGTGTCAACGCTCAACCTGTACAGGTGCCTGTGCTGGGTCAACGCCCAGGCCAAGGCCGACAAGGTTCCACGCCTAGATTCCGGGAAGATTCTCCGGATCCACAAGATGCTCGGAGAGAACACCAAGGACGAGGTTGATGCGGGCGAGTTTAGGAGGGGCGAGGCGTGGACATTGACAACAGAGAGGCGGAAGCATGTCTACATGGATCCCAAGAAGATCCCGGCGGCTTTGGAGCAGCTCCTGTCAGCCACCAACAAATCCCTCGAGGAGGCATTTGCAGCAGATCCCAAGCTCAGGGTTGCAAAGCTGTTGAGCATTGGCGCCAGCTTCTTTTATAAGTTTGAGTGCATTCATCCGTTTAGGGATGGGAATGGACGTGTGGGGAGGCTTTTGGTGCTCTACTTGCTTACCTCCATAGTTCCTTGGGGCGCAAACAATCTCTATGCGCCCCGGGGTGGGGACGAGGCTTGCAATCCCCGGGCTCCTCCCAAGTTTGTGGACAAGGCCATGTATCTTAAGTGCTTCCAGGTGATGCAACAAGGAGGCAAGAACAGAGGCGAGCAGCAGCAGCATCCGGTGGAGTTGGAGGCACTTTTGGCCGAAGGGATTCATGTTGGCTGGACAAAGTTTGCAGCCAAAGCGAATGTATAGTGTTAAAGTAGTAAAAGTATATATGTGTTAATGAATATAGAACTGGCTTTCAACCTTAGCCCTCGATTAAAAGAAAGAATATGCCTCTGTTTACGTTAAGAATAACCACGAGAATATGCCCTTTAATCGATTTAAACTTTTGGCACGAAGATTGTAAGGGGTGGGGTTCTATCCGCATGGTGTAGATCGCAGCAGCTGATTGAGGTGCCACGCGAGGGGCATGCGAAATCGCCCGTGCGAGCCTTCCTGATGGATTCCGGTGGACGAAGAAGTTTTTGTTCTTGCAAGTGTTGTTACTATGTTCTTGTCTGCCCAAATGCATGTCGTTACTTTGTTCTTGTTTGCCCAGGTCAACACTGTTCTTTGCGAAGAAATTCCAAGGTTTCCCAGGAATACGATATGTGCGTGGCAAGAATGATGAAACTAGAAGAATGCAGCTGATCTTCCAATTTGGTGTTGTGTTCTTGACTGGAATATTTTGGACTAACGATTCCTTGAACAGGTGTGGACGTTGATGGAATCAGAATTCCCAGTGATTTTAGATTTTACTTTAAAAAGGACAAATATAAATTTATCTTTGGTTTAGCATTCTATTATGTAGTTTTTAATAAAGAGAGCTTCAGAGTTGAAGGCTGAAACAAAGCAAGGTTGAAAGCCAGTCAATCCACAAAGTTTAAATCGATTAAAGGCTTAAATCGATCCAATGCAGGGCCTAGAACACGATCGTTTCAGCCCAAGGCATCTCCAGACGATCGTCAGAAAGCTCGAATTCCACCCAGGCGGATCCAATTACCGGACGGTAGAAACATCTCATACCGAGAAGAAGGTGTCCCTGCCGATCAAGCAAAGCGCACAGTGCTCGTTGTTCATGGATTTCTCTCATCGAGACTAGCAGGTTCGTGAGCTTTTCATTCATGGGCTCTACAGTCGCTCCGTCAACTTGTAGGAATTCCCGGAATCAATTCTTCACTGCCCGATAGCTATGGTGTTCATCTTGTAGCTTACGACTTGCCAGGATTTGGAGAGAGTGATCCTCACCACAACAGAAGTTACAAAACCTCGGCCTCGGACATGATCAGCATCGCCGACGCTCTCGGTTTTGGCGACCAGTTTTGGATCCTGGGCTTTGATGGAGGTGGTCCTCACGTTTGGGCTGCGATTCACTACATTCCAGAGAGATTAGCAGGTGATCACATCTTTCTTTTTTCTCTTGAGAGTTTAGCAAGAGTGTTGCTTGCTTGTGTTCTTGGACACAGGTGTTGCTATGGTTGCTCCGGCAGGAAATCCATGCGGAGGAAATCTCACCTCGAGCGAAGCGGCCAAAGCCTGGAAGGCCTGGTCATTCCGGAGAAGATTGCTCCATTTCTGTGCCAGGAAGTTTCCATCTTCACTTGGAGGTTTTCTCCGGAGACCTCTCCTGGAGAAGATCGACCGGCTTAGCAGAAGCTTGTATGCCACCTCAAGACCAAAGGTTTGCATTGTTTTGATCGTGGAATGACTCAAGGTCATCGAGTTTTGCAGGATCGAGCTCTTTTCGAGCAGCAGGATTTCATGAGATTATGGGAAGACGACGTCCGGGAATCCATGAACCAGAAGCGAGCATTCTCGCTGGCTCAAGAGCTAGTCTTGCTGGTTAACAACTGGGGATTCGACTTGGGCGATCTCAAGCGAAAGAGACCTCCCGCCGGCGATGGAATCGTGAGCAAGCTTCACGGCCTTTTCTCTCAAGAACAGTCGGATCTCCTCAGCTTCCAGCGACCAATACATATATGGCATGTAGGTGGTGGTGTTTCTTCGTTTGGTTTTTTCCAAAAGCTTGCTGATCTTGGCGATTGTAATCAGGGAACTGACGATGTAGTCGTGCCGATTGCGATGAGCGAGTTTGCGCAGCGAGTCCTGCCTCACGTAAACTTCCACAGGTTACAAGGCGAGGGCCACTTCTCGTGGTTCTATCTCTGCCATGAATGCCACACAGATTTGTTCAAAGCCATGTTTCCAGACGAATAGCCATGGAAAGAAAAGATCGATTCTATTTCTTCTCTTTGATTGTTACACGTAAATCTACTGTCCTAACCAGCGCGTTTCCTCTTCCACTGCTTTCCATATGGCACGGAAGGTAATGGGCTTGGGGAGCTTTGCGCTACACATCGGGCACGAGTCATTGTTTTCCATCCACTCGCGAAGACATTCCAGATGATAACAGTGCTCGCATGGTATCTGTTTCACCACGCTATCGAGCTCGAACTTGTCCTTGCAAACTGCACACCATGGCTTGATCTCGGGGAGAAGATCGCAGATGCTGGGCATCGGCTTGGGAGGGGCTTTTAAAAAGATTTTTGCATCCACCCATGTTAATACTTTGGCCATGAATTTCTCCACCTTTTCTAGCATTGTCACAGGCTTCTCGCCTTTCTCCATCGCCATCTCTCACTTAAACCTATGGAAACACTTGTGGTTTTGGCCATTTATTTATATTAGTAAGAAAAGGAAATTTTACTTTTTTACAATTTAAGGGTTTGCTTTTAATTATAATTGGTTAAATGTTTATTAATTTTATTACCGTTTTATAGGCAATTTACTTTTATATCTTAATAATTATAAATATTTGAAATCAAAATGAGAGGATCTTAGGCTCCATCGATGCAAGAGGTAGGCGAAGGTGAGCGTGACACGGGGATTCGACGCAGCGGCGCCGCCCCGACGAGAAGGGCAGGAGATCGAAGGCACGCTGTGGTCGCTGCCCAGTAATCGCTGGGGGGTCGCTCCAGACGCTTGGGTCGTGATGGATTGCCCAGACGTTAACGAGGACTGTGGTGTGATGCAAGGCAGGTCTTTTAGATCCCACTCCTCCAGGGAGCGATCTCTTCCCACGACTCTGTCCAGCTCCTCGTGAGCTCTCTCTCCTGGATTCTGGGGTTTAGTATCAGCTCCGAGACGGCCCATTCGATCGTCACCCTGGAAGTTACGGACGACCAGTCGGCGTGCCCACCCGTGTCCGCAAGCTTACGTGAGAAAGAACAGAACAAGATAAGCTTTTTCTTTCTACCTGGAGCAGCGGTTGTCGCTGAGCTTGTTTTCTCCTCCCAGAGTCCCTGGATCGAAGCCTTCCGCGTGCTCCTCGATGACTGCTTTGAGAAAGCGAGCTCTTGCCGGTAAGACCTCATTCTTGAGACGATTTTGCGTCCTGAGCGTGTCCAGCCACCGCAGCGCAGGGATGTAATCATCTGCAAACAGCCATCGCTACGATCCGACTCCTTGTAGTCCTCGGCCTCGGGAGTGAGCGGCTCGTCGGTACCGTAGGACTTCTCCCGAACAACACGGTTCGTGAAGTACTCGTGCAGCATGGAGCTGAGATCAACTCGACGATCGATCCAAATGCTCCCAGCTCCAAGTGGCTGACTTTGGAGGCCGTGAAGAGCTCCGCGGCGCTCACTCGCCATCGCTCGCGGCGCAAAGATGAGGTCCTGGAAGTTGTGGCTGAGGAGGCGAGGCACGAAGGAGTAGTGGGGCCTTCTCGCAAACTCGGCGTCGTGCTCCTTGAGGACTTGCCTCACAAGGTGAGGCCGGACTCCGAGCCGGAGAGCTATTCTTTCGAGCCATCTCGGCCAGGGAGCGGTAACGGTAAGCGCCGAGCGAGAGAAGCGAGACCCGACGACGGGCCATGAGAAAGGACCTGAAGAGCAGTGACGAGCAAATCCAGCAGTGCACTGATCTTGCTCTGTGGCTTTCATCCCTTAGCTCGCAAGATAAGGCGTGTTTTCGAAATTTTTACTCCCAACGAGAGAAGCCGTATCACGAAAGTACTTTTACCTTGTCAAGAAGAAGTTACCAAAAGAGAAAGCCCTCTTTACAAATAGAAATTGAAAAGGGCCACAATCAAAGAATTGTCCATCTTAGAGCTTGAGAATTTGGAGAGGGCCGCGCGTACGCGAGCCCTCAGCTTCCACAAATTACGACGTCCACTCCTCCACTTTGGGAAGATGGTAGGCCGGCCAAGCCGAAGTGCAATGGGAAGGCCGAACCTAGGCCATTGGCCTTCATGATCACCAATACACCCCGTCCAGGTAAGTATGGATCACTTCCCCAGGCCCTAGCTTATATACTGCTCTTGTGCCCTCACTCCACGCCCCGGCATGTGGGATAGGGTAAAGAATCAGGTCAAAGACCTAGTCAAACGGTCAATTCTGAAGTACGCCTTCACCGGCACGACCACAAGGTTAAGAGCCTTGCGCAGCGATTGCGCCCCCAGGGAACGATGGAGGCAAGCAAGTAGGCCACTAACAGCCTACCCTGGACTTCGAGTGCACTTGCAAGAAGTGCGAGCTGGAGCAGCGGCTGGACAAAAGGATCTCGCAAGGGTGACGGGCTGCTACAGGGACTTGTCCGGGGTCAACTTCGAGTTCCGGTTCAAGGGAGGAATCAATCCGGCCCGGATCGAAGCTGGAGAGTATGTTGGCGACCAGCACCACCACGTTTCCAGCCTGCACCTCCTGGTAGTACAACCCGTAGAGCGACCAGTGGATCGCTCTCACGCACTGCCTCTCATCCTTGGAGCTTGCCGGAGGGGATTGTTCCGGCAGTAGAGGTGATCATGGAGGCGGTGCCCAAGTTCACGGCTGGCAACGATATCAATGTGATTATCCTTGAAAGGTTGACGGACTACGCACTAGACAAGGAAGCAGCGAGGAGGGTGATAGAGATGGAGTGGGAGGTGAAGTTTGGGAAACAGGAGGAGTCTTGCATTGCAAGGCCATCAACAAGAGAGGTATGGAACTCATTGCTCATCTTGGTCACTGACGCTTGGTTTTCTTGGAGTTGTTTTGTTTCTTCTTCTCCTTCATACTTGTTCATCTCTTTGTTCTTCTACTTCTTCTCCTTCTTCTTTTATGCTTGTGTTTTGGCGAATCCTTTTTTGACTGTCTCAACTCTGTCTCGTCTTGAAAATAAAAAGCGTTTGGAAAGTGTCGTAAAAGAAAGTCCAAAATGGTAGTAAGCGGGGAGAATGTATACATGAAACAACGCGGGGAATTTCTTGGCCAGACCGCGTAACAGACGTGTATGGGGATACAAACATCGATTAGCTCTTTGAAGGATCAAAACCCTTGGGGTACATTTAACATTGGTCGTGTTGATCCTGTTGGAACAAATGTGAATCTCAGACTTGGTGGCGAGCAAGTGTTTCAGTGCGTAGATGCTTGGAATATCACGGGGAATATCACCACCATCTGGTCTCGTGCGTCGAGGCACCTTAGTTTCGCTGTCCTTGGCCGAGAAGTACGATTGTATGATCTCAACAATCAGCGTAGAACTTTTAGAAAACCTCAGCGTGTAGTTGACCATTGTTGACCATTCATGTCATGTCACTGAATTAGTTTCGCTGACTCGAGTGCTTGGAACAACAGAACAATTTTATTTGGTCCACGGACATTCAGTTTGACTAATCCAAAGCTTTCAGGCTCCAGCCAACAATTGAAAGCTCTAAAAACTGGAGTCGCCATCTTTCTAAACAAAGTATCACCGGTAGGAAGAAAGGCAAATCCAAAAGTTTCAAAACACAAACAAACTCACGCACGCAAACACCTGGTCACGAACAAGAGCCAGCATCAAAAAAGTCTCATGCCAGTTGCATCTTCCTACTTTGGTCTGGAACTGTCAAGAATCGTTGGTCAGATCAAAACTTCCAGTCAAGAACAAAACCTTCGAAACTGGTTCTTTTGGCGACTCAAGTCCACTTTCACTCGTGGAAAACCTTTGGAAGTTCTTCGCAAAAGCACAAACATAGTACCATGTATCAAGGACAAAGCGTCCAAGAACTAGAAACTTTGGGTACCTCGATCGATCTGGCCTTCGTCCATCAGGAAACAAGAACTCGCACTGGCGATTTCACAGGCGTCGCCTCCGCCCTTCGCTAAGTAGTACTGCTTGACGACAGTGGAGACCGCTGCTGCGAGCGACATTCAAGGAAAGAGACGAAATATCTTATTTACATAAAACTCTCCAACATATGATCTAACTCACCAGCAAGCTGTTCACAATAGCCGTGAACATCTTGTTGCCTCCATCACTCTCGAACAGAGCTATATATGCAGTCCTAGTTAGAATACCACCTCCCGCCGATCGAAAGACAAAATGCTTACCAGCAGTGAAATCCCGCAGCAGCCAAGCAAGTAGGACACGTCCAATCCTCCCGTTGCCATCAGAAAAGGGGTGCACCTTCTCGAACTTGAAGAAGAACTCTGCGACACTCCACAGGTACGTAGCCACGGCTGCTTCTCCCAGAGGATCGGGATCGCGTCGATATCTTTCTCTAGCCTCTTCAAGCTGTTGCAGCAACCGCTCAATCGCTCCAGGCAGCTTCTTCCAAGGCTCGTAGTGATGCCACTTCTCGCCTGTTGTCATCGTCTTGGCCCCGCTGCGCCGCAGCCCATCCGCTCGACCAGTCAAAGTAGCGTAGACACCAATGAGGTCGTCAGTGGTGACGATCTTGTCCACCTCCCATCCCTCAACGACATCCATTGCTGCTACTAGCCTCTCTCGCTCCCGCTCCCGCTCCGCCTCTGCCGGTAAGAATGATAGTCCAAAACTGGTTAGCCCTGCAGCAACTCAACGTTGTTTTTTAGTCGTTCCTCCAACACAAAAGCAAGAAAAAGCAAAGAAAACCTGAACGAATATCGTAGAAAACACCGGTGCAGTTTACTCAGAGAATCCCGTTCTCTCAGACCTGTAGAGAAACAAACAAACAGCACTGGTGAGAAGAGGCTCGCAGGACCAAGTTTAAGAGATATAGCTGGGCTAAAGTGCACGACGAGAATGCCACCGAAGACACTCACTCACACTCTCGAACAAAACTAGCATGCCACCCAAGCAACTCACACTCTCGATTGAAACCATACCTTCGCCTCCATATGTCCGGGATGATCCTCGTCTTCACTGGACATGTCTCCGAGTTGATGTCCATTCGTTTCTGGTTTCAAGCATTAGGCATAAGAATGTTACCAGGCGCTACTTACAGCGAGACTCGTCGGTAGCAGTGGTGGTGCGTTTGATCGTGCCGACTTGTACAAGGTTGCAAAGCTTGTGGACTTTGTGGTTGTGTCTCGTGAAGAAACTGGGACAGGATGGCAAAAAAAAGTGTTAAAAGCCTCACGACTAGCAAACGAAGCCAAGAACACAAACAAAAAACAAAAATCACACAACGACGAAAGCACAGTGATCTTCCACAAACACGGACAAATACTAAAGCATGCCCGAGCAAAGAAATAGCATGCCATCCAAACACTCTCGACTGTGAGACTTACATTTGCCTCCAGATTTCCGGGACGAGCTTACAAGGACAGCGAGACGCGCTACTGCCATCGTCAATCCACCGTCTCGTGAAGCTTGCAAAACTGGGCGAAAACAAGTGTCAAAAGCGGCTTACAAACGGCTAACAAACGAAGAACACAATCACGCAAGGGAAAGCAAAGTGATCTTCCAAGAAAACCGACACATAGGAAACAAAAATTCCCGCAAACCCTTGCTGACAACAAGAATGTCGCTTCCGGAGGAAAGAGAAAAGCACGCTGATGGAAAAAGAAACGTCTCGCAAAGCAAGCGACGATGCCAAACCTTGGGAATCTCCTCGCAAAATGCACCGAGGACACAGACCTCGGCGATCCGCCAGGGTGAACAGGAGGAAATCGCTGGGATCCTTTGCCATGGCCGAAATATCCACGCCCGCTGTAGCAGCTGCCAATTTCTTCTTGCTTGCTTTCAGCAATCTCTTGCATAGCTCCTTCACAGCCGGATCTGCCGATGTTGGCGCTGGCGCTGGCGCTGGTGCTGGATCACCCGATTTGTTCTTTCCCATCCCTGAGGATAAAGAACCCTACTTTCTCCCCAAACATATATACTTGGCGCGCATTGATCGCTGGCCGTCGATATGATGATGTAATCGCCACCGTTGGAGCGCTTGGCTAATCGCAACCATCCTCCCTTCACGCTGGAATCCCCACCGTTGGCTCCCCTATGAATAGAAAAGGTTCGAGCCTAGGGTTTCAGGTATAATGGCGACGATCAAGAGCATCGAGAAGTGCGTTGCGAGGTACGAATCCCTGCCCGACAAAAAGAAGAGCGGCGCGCTCAAGCAGGGCACAGCAATGGTGAAAGAATTCGTGTTCCAAGTGGCAAACATCGAGGGCGAAGGGCTCGACACACTGGAAGAGGTCAGCGATGCCATTGACCAGTACAACCAGTCAAAGTCTTTTGCGCTCGATGGCTTTGGCGGCGACAGGAAGCCAAAGCTCGTGTCAACGCTCAACCTGTACAGGTGCCTGTGCTGGGTCAACGCCCAGGCCAAGGCCGACAAGGTTCCACGCCTAGATTCCGGGAAGATTCTCCGGATCCACAAGATGCTCGGGGAGAGCACCAAGGACGAGGTTGACGCGGGCGAGTTTAGGAGGGGCGAGGCGTGGACATTGACAACAGAGAGACGGAAGCATGTCTACATGGATCCCAAGAAGATCCCGGCGGCTTTGGAGCAGGTCCTGTCAGCCACCAACAAATCCCTCGAGGAGGCATTTGCGGCAGATCCCAAGCTCAGGGTTGCAAAGCTGTTGAGCATTGGCGCCAGCTTCTTTTACAAGTTTGAGTGCATTCATCCGTTTAGGGATGGGAATGGACGCGT